TGGAAAACATTCTATATATATTATATTTTATATATATATATATATATATATATATATATATATATATATATATATGCAAGCACATATATATTAGTAATTTAAGTATATTAGTAATTATTTTAAAGCAATGAAGATACAGCTTCGACCGTAATAGACATTTTAAATTGCTAGTATTTTAAAGTACATATTTGTTAAGATTAAAAGCAATCCTTTTTGTGTTTGACATAAATATTTACATATTTTTTATATTGGAATTATTAAAAAATATATTTAACCAAATAAAAAATCTCGTTTTACGTTTTCCACTTCATTATATTTTGTATTGATTGGACAGATGGACAGGAAAATGTTACTGGGGTTTTCTGGGAGGTGGAGTTGCAAAGTCTTCCATAAGTAATGCGTGCAACGTTGATAAAATCATTTTACTTAGCCACTTCGAAGATGCAGATGTAAAATCAAAATTATTAAGCAGTGGATTCAGATTAGTAGAAGCAACAGGAGCAGGATACAAGATACTGAGCGTCGCTATTGGACAAGCAGCTGCCTACCTCTTGTCGAAGGGTTCCACTTATAAATGGGATACGTGTGGACCACAAGCTCTCCTGTCTTCGGTTGGTGGAAGTATCATCGAATTTAAGGAATTTATTGTGAATCCAGATTCAGACAATCTAAGCGTGAATTATTTACCTATTGGCACAAATTTTTCTAATCGTGCAGGTTTGATAGCATACAGAGATCCTCAAATTTTGGAAACCTTCAAATGTATGTTATGTAAATCTCGTTAATAAGTATGAAGATATATTAATACTAAAACTTAACCTTAGAATTGAATTTAGAAAACTTTTATGATAATTATATTACTATTTATGTGTGTGATTATATATATATATATATATATATATATAAATAAATAAAAATCATATTCTATACTATAAGTTTCATGCAAAAACTTCTGGATGTTTTCATGGCTATTTCTTATGCTTATTTTGTGATATTATATATGGACTTTGATTCAATTGTCCTAAATATTTATTATATAGATAATGTATCTAGTAATAAATATATCCACTAATATTATATTTGTTGATTCGACAAATAGATTTATTTGCTAATTGATGTAATTCTAATTGTTAATTATGATATAATAAATGTGAGTCCAAGTAAGAGAGGTCATTTAATTTGAATCAATTATACATGTTTATTTTTTTTTGTATTATATTATACTATAATATAATTATAGTAATAATGTAATTATTATACAATGTAAAAAAAATATATTACAGAATATAAAAAAAAAATTTGGTTAATCATTTATGTTAAACTAGTATATGATAATTATATTTATGTTGTACGGTAACAATTTAAATGGACATCTGTTACTATATTTATTTAATAAAATCAGATGTATAAAGGAAAGAGAATATGGAAGAGAATATAGCGAGAAGAAAAGAGAAGAGCGCGAATAATATGATAAGTACAGGATTGCAACGAGAGGAAGAAAGAAAGCATGGATAAGATGATATGGTATAGAACTGCAATGGATGAGTAAGAGAACTGCATATTACAATGGAGGAAGAGGACAACAGATTGAAAAGAGAATACAACGGGCGGGAGAGAGAGAACTGCATATTACAATAGATAGGATTTCTTCTTCTAATTTGATATGGCTCTCGCCATCGGATAATAGATAGGAGAGGACAAGTTGGAAAGAGAATGCGCAATGTGGTGTATGAACTAGTCCAGTATAATTATGTTGAATTTTTAATATCCGAGTTTAATTTAACATAATATGATTGTGTTATTTGAATATTTTATGTTAAATTAAAATTTAACATTTCTCAATGTTAAAATAACAATTTATAAGTAAGTAAACAAATAACACAAAAATAATGTAATTTTAAAATATAAATTCTAAGAATAAATAAATAAAATGTGTTGAATTAATATATTATAAATGTTAATTTTACTGAAGAAATATGTTCTATACAACTAGTTACATATTTTATATGCAAAAAGGTACAGATATTTTTAATTGTGTTATTTTCTCTTTGTATTTTCTCTTAAATATCTGTTAAAGCTATATATTGCATATGTTAAATATCACAGAGGTATTGCCTAAACTAAAGATATAAACATAGCATTTAATTTCACTTAAATTTAAATTACTCTAATAATTTAAATTATTAACTTACTTAAATTTAATTTCACTTAAAATTAACATTATAAATGTGTCAATTTAACAAAAAATTTGTTTTTAAAGTGTGTTAAAATATATTACGCTTCTTGTTAATTTTTTACATAATCTTTGTGTTATTTTTTAATATATTCATCTTATGTTAAATTGATTAATACAAAAATTTGGACCGTTTTGGACATGTGAAATGTATTAAATTTAAAATTAAATTTTTACTATGTAGGAACAATTTATTATAGAAACACTGAAAGTATTTGCATGTTTCGATTTATTAAATTTGTGTTCTGGATTAGAGAATTTACGTAATAATACCCCATGTTTAGCATCAAATGCGATCGATCTGAAAGTAATTTGTCTTCTAATAATGAATATCCTATACAATATTATTTATATAGCAGTAACCGTGGATTTAATTATTAAAGGTCACTTTAACAAACTTAATCGATCGATTAATCCATCGGAATTAGTCAACATTGGTTCGCATCTGTCGTCAAACGAAATGACAAATGCGATTGGTCAATTCCAATGGACTAATCGATCAATTACGTTTTTTAAGCTGCTTTCACATACAGCATAACTAGCATAAAGCACATGGTGCATACAAATAACGTAAGGACGTAAGACGTAATCAGTAAACGAATTACCCAATTACGGTAGACCGTAAGGCCAGTAGCAAATTCAATCTTACGATTTTCTTACTGATTACGTTTTGCGGCCTTACGTTTTTCTATGTGCTCTCGGCTTATAGGCTTTCTAAAGTCTTCTGTAAGAATTGACTAATCACAGTCAAGTATTCCTCTCTCATTCGGCGGTAAGAAGGGAATACTTGAAGGTAATTAATCAATTTTTACAGATTAGCCGGCATACGACGCTTTTGTAGTTATTTTGAATACCTACATTTTTTATACTAATTTTTTAATACAATCAATATCTTTTGTTTTATAAGCAAAAAACGTGCTTTTTGCAACTATTCGATTTTTTTTCGCCTATTTTCTTCACAAGTACAATATCAAGTCTCGAACATACGTATTTCTTTTCTGATGACTTTTCAAGACTTTCATGAAAAGAGAGAGAGAGAAATGCTGGTTTATAATTTTTTTCCGGTAAAATTCTACTTCTACTGAACTATTCTTGCCACTCGAAGGAGGTATATAACGTGCATAAAGAATCGTAATTATTAAATATCTCGTAAACTGTTGCATTTTAACATGATTTATACTATTCTGGATTAATAAGAGAGGGTAACACTACAATTTATTAAAACTTATACGTTATTTAGATATGCTCCCCCGCCCCTTATTGATGCCGAGCGGCCGAGATTGCCGAGAAAGCATTTTTGGTTGCTTGAAACAATTAGTGATTAGTGTGAAAAGGAACTCGCTGTCTCGTTTACTCTCTGCACGCCACAGGCGAGCACATGGACATGGGCTCGTGCTTAAGTGTGTGCCTATCGGTTTCGCCGTCTGATTCAGCGTTGCTATCATCAACGCAGAGTTTTTGGCTGAGTAGTCAGGAGTCTTAAGCGCTTGTATCAACATTCTGTCTTTATCATTCATTAGACGTAAAATGAGAATAGAAGTAATGAAAAGCGTTGAAAGCATCCAAATCGACCGCCTAAGATTTATACACCATATAAACCTTCCAATTTGTTCATATTTTCTTCCAAAGATTTTAAGATTGAAGAATTATATAGCGCAATTGGTTTCTGTGAAACGATTATTACGAATTGAACGCGATGTTGAATTTCGACAGGCATATAATCATTGATCGTTAAAGGGAGACATCGAAATTTGTATTTTGAAAACGATGACAATAATATTTTTAACAATTTAACATCACAATTTGAGTTACATGTTTGCACTTAGCGTCCGCTCTCCTGTTCTAACCCAATCCTAGGACGTATTTTGGTAAATTATATGCAAACCTGGGGATGGCCATAACCACGGACATCCTGTAAATTGAAGAAATTTTAGTTACAATAGCATTCATACATTTACGTATTGTTATTTTAGCTACTAAGTTTGATAAAGATGAAAAAAATCAAGTTTCATGTATAATAAGAAAATACGTGGATAATGTTAAGCTCTTATTACATGATTCCAAAGTTCTCCTTGCAATTAAATTTTCTAGGATTTCAATCTTCAAAAATTTCGCAGAATGATTATGGTACAAGTAAAAAATAATGGTAATTATTTAATACAGAAAAACCAGGGGTGTATGAAGTTACATAGGATCGTACAGTTCCTGAGAATTCTGATTAAAGTTCTAGGTTCCTTTTAAATAAGAGTATAAGAGTTCTCTCGTGTTTATAAAAAGAGTTTCGGCGATTAACGCTATTAAAAGATCCAATACTAACTTTGCATCTAATATTACGACTAAATAGTTCTGAATAGTTCATTTGTACTCGTATTCATATGCCCGTATTCATAGTCAAGCCTTATATTTAAGACTTCTTTAAATTTATCTTCAGATACTGTATGAATTATTTCATTGGCTACTGAGCATCTAAAGATAAATTTAAGGAAGCTTTAAGTACAAGGTCTGATTATGGCTGGTATTCATAATCAGATCTTATATTTAAGATCGTTTCAAGTACGATCTTAAGAAGCCACGAATCAAATCAGAGAGTTGCATTAGCATCTTAAGACATTACTTAAAACGATCTTGAAATAAGAATCGACTATGAATACTGGCCTATGAATACGGACATTGATATTTTTGACGAGTATTATAAGGGGCTACGCAAAATGAAAGGAATAGGGAACAGAGAATAAGAATTTCAACCTATCAAAAATCATGTATTGTGGAATACACAATTTCTGATAAGTTAAAATTCTTATTCTCTGTTCCCTGTTCCCTATTTTCAGACTCCCAGTTCTAGCCGCAGTTTTTGCTAATATTCTATAAGAGTTCTCTATAAGAAATTATTATAATATAAAGAAATTCGGCCAATAATTAAAATGACTCAATTGACACAATTTAATTGATTCAATCTTGGGTGCAACTCGAAAAAATCTATACCTACTTATGCATTTGTACGCAACATTTCATGTTCGATTGTACAATACTTCCATTTTTCGATAAAAAATTCTTAATCAGGATATATACGCATACATAGAACACTGGTATACATTCGTATTTGCGAATATAGAATATATCGATTTGTGTTTATGTGTTTGCGCGGTTGTCGCCACGTATTGGAATCTATCCGCAATTTACAATCTTGTTTTTGTATATATCAATATTGGTCAGCACTGGAACCTATCCGCAATTTACGATGTGTTTCTGTCCATACTTATGTGCATTTGCCTTTTATCGCAATTTATATCCATTTGCACCTTCATTAAAAATGATACGTGAACTACTTGACGAAGGACTCATGATGAATGGGATCATGACCTGACAATATATGTCAAGGTCAAAGTGATTGGAGCTGGTTTTTCTGTACTAAATAAAATTACCAAATAAATTGACAGCTTACGTAAATACTAATTTGTATCGTGCGAATCAATTAATATTTAAATATTATAGATAAGCTGTCACATTTACCGTAACTTGACAATTAAGAAAAAATCGTTTGTATCAGCCGCATAAAAATTGCATTTCATTAATATCGTTACAATTTATTTTATCATTATTTTTGTTATTAAATTTACTCAATATCGTTTTATATTAATTAGCGGCTAAGATTAATCAATTAAGTAATTAATTTGAAGCAATTAGACTTGCGAGTTGAGAATATTTGCTTATCAGGACTTTAAATATAATTTAACATAATTACTGAAGTTGGTAAAATTTATTTACACGCGGAATTTAAGTAATTTGTCTTAAATTTAATTTCCATAGATAGTTTTCCATAGATAAAAAAAATATTTAAAAGGACATAAGATGTAGTAGGTTTTTTAAATTTAAATAATAACTGCCTCGGAAGTATGACTGGTATAACTTATGAATATGAAATTTATTTATAATTTATTTATAATTTATTCACTCTGTTATGTGTGCTACTTACTATAGTATGCAGTGTAGAAGATAGAAATGTCAATCATCAGTTGTTATTCTCCGCCACCAAACGAGATTACTACTCTTTAAATTTCTTGGAGTAAAATCGCACTCCAAGAGAGATCAAAATATAGCCATTTTCACTTTTCTCCAAAAATAGCGGTATTTCACTCTCTTAGAATGAGATTTTACTCCAAGAAATTTAGACAGTATATTTCTAAATACAAATTAAGTAATTGATGTTTTCGTCAAAACAAAGCTGGCTCAAATACCATGGACCGAATTAGATGCTGCTAAGGAAAGCATTTTTGCACACTGCAAAACAACTTATGTGCTCATTAATGTCCATTCTGTGCGATGAATTAATTTAAGTGATTAAAAGGTATTTACAATCCGAACACCGTTTCTACATATTGGTTGTTTTATTGAAAAAATTGTCATGTTAGATAAAAATTTATATTTATAATGTAATATATTTATAATGTTGTTTATAACGTATCAACAAGACACTCGATTAAAGTTAATATGACAATCTCCTAATTCGTAATAGGAATTTTGTTTTTTTTATTTTTATTTTGATATGTTTAATGCTCGAAGGAACGCAGAAAACGTGATTACGATGCAATATATTTCATGAAGAAAGTTCTGAAACATATGAAAAGAATCAAATATTTTTCTTTGTTATCGCACTTTTTACTTGTAGAAATTATAGTCTTTTTAATTTTTCATGCAAACATTTCATATGTTTAATCAATCATAGAAAAACTCTTTCGATTGTGCTATATGTATATTTATACATATACTTATATGCATTTTAAATAAAGCAATATCATATGTTACTGAATGCAATTGATCGACATCTACTTGTTAGATTTTTTAAACTGTTGAATGAGACGTATTACAAGATATTTATCGAGTATATATTTACGAGATATTTATTACGTATAATTTATGATTTGCTAAATACATTATTCAGGATATGGATTTTTTATCATCTTAAAATCTATCGTCTACTACAGATTTTTACGTTCTATCAATTAATACGTTAAAATCTTTTTAAAAACAAATTATAATAATATATACAGAATATAATAAAATAATATGAAAAAACATAACAAAAAATAATGTAATAACTTCTCAAAGTGTTATTATTGTGTAAATATTGTAAATACTTTTCATAAACATGTCGCCGCATAACTGCAATCAAGCGGCGTTTTTTGTATCAACTTTTATCAACATTTTATTTATATTAACATTTTATTTGTACACTATTTATTTGTATTAACATTTGTATCAATATTTGAAATGGTTTTTTTATTATTAATTTTCATTAATTTATTATTTATGATGATTTTTATTATAAAATTTCTATGTTGTTAGACTTAATCGTTAAATAAAAACCTCGGCCTTATTATGAATCGTTATAGTTTTTTCAAATTCTAAATTATCATTTTGTAATTACATTTAAAACTATTGTAAATATATAACTACTAGTATAAAAATGCGTGTAAAATAAGAAAAGCAGAATTTTAGTAAGCATATTGAGGAAATATCTATTATATATACATATTTAAGAGAAGTCCTTTTCTTAAGTATAATATTTATAAGAATTAAGAAACAGACAAGTACAGATCGATTTTAGAAATAATGATTACGATATATTTAGTCAGAGCAATTGATTAATTGACTTCGTTAGTTTTAATGTTGCCGGAATGCATTTCAAACCACAAATCCTTTACGTACGACAGTGCGAGTCCCTTGTATATCCATGCACGCCAGCCCGTTCTTGTTTCGTCGTCGATCCTCGCTTCCAAACTCTGACATAACGCCTTCCGATCGTGGCTTCTTCCACTGCGTAAATCGCAGAGCAATCTCTTGCGACACTCGTCATTGCACGCTGGTCGCACCGGAGAATTCTTATAGTAATGTCTGTGTAAAGAATAAAAGCAAATACGTCATTTACTTTTCTCGAGGAAAGTTTGAACATCAAATTAGTCTTTCTTTCTTTTTAAAATAAAGCCTCTTCATATTTGTATTCGTTACAATCCCATTGATTTAAATAATGGAATGTATTATTATAAACATTTTGTGTTAACATGTTATAATATTCAGGTAGCAAGCTGACGTTATTTGTTATTTAAAAATAAATATGTTAAACAAGGACTCTCTCTCTCTCTCTCTTTAAAATAATAAAAACAAAATTAATCCGAACTAAGAGTCAGAGATATCTTATTACTTTTTTTCGATTTTATAAATCTACTACCCTACCTCCTAATTTTGTATCTATTTCAATCCTTTTTATTCCGTTCGATCAATTAGATTTTTATACGGCTGTAAATATATTAATAATTTCGTCACTCGTAGCACTCTCTTAACATTCTTTTGATCCAGCTTAACAAATCTCCTTTTGACAAATAATATCAGTTTTTTAGTTAACGACAGCGACAATCGTCAATAAGATCAGAGAATCCCTCTCTCCCCCCCCCCCTCCAGCTAAGATATGTTATAGTTGAAGCGAGAATGAATTAAAATTTTGATTCAGTTCATGATCATATTCACTATTTTTAGATTCAATTGAATGAAAAAACTTTTTTTTAGATTCAATTGAATTAAAAAATTTCCTATCCAGAATTTTGAGTAGTATTTATTTAAAGAATTGAAATTTTTTTTTCAGATTGAAAAGCATAGAAATGTGTTTCATGCAATTCCTATAAACGAATAAAAATACATTGGGATTAAAAAGAATTTATTTTAACGTTTGCAAATGCCTACTTCTAAAAATCTAAATAAATCCATATCAATCCATTTTTGTTTACCTACTAAGTAACATTTCCGTTTTTTTTTTACGAGATCATGGTATTAATCGATATCAAATCATAATGCGAGAAAAATTACTTATAGTAAAGATCAAAGAGGGCCGGCTCATTAGTCATCTTGTCAATCAGCGAGTCCCAGTCTTTAGGCAAAAGTGATGCCATTTGGTAGGCTTGACGCGCGCTATACAATTTGTACCAGATTGGGTAATCATAAAGATTCGCTTCCTTTAGATTCATGACCCAGCTCTCATGATCGACGACCATCTAGAATAAACGCGTGAGTTAGAAAATGATAAAGAACGCTTAAGTCACGTGTATGTGTAGGATGTTGCTAGATTGCTAGAGTAAATATTCGTCGTATGTGTGTAATCGTGGAACGTCATCTTACTTACTCTTGTAGTCTTGGAATGATCTCCATCAACATAATATATTCTGTAGCCTGGATTGAGATCATAATATGGTGAGACCGAAGGACCGACGTAGGCGATACTGAGCGCTCTACCAAGGTCTGATGTATCATAGAATATCTGGAACTCATCATAATGTGTATGTCCAAAGAACTGTGCCGTGATTGTTGATTCATAGCTATCCAAAAACAGAAGGAGAACATTTGTCATCTAATATGTTGAAGTTCAATAACAATTTCTGAACGATCAAGTACAAACCGATTTATTATGTGATAATAATTTCTCGACCAAACCTTAAGACAATCGGAATGTCCAGGAGGGATGTGACCAATTATATGCACCTTCTCGCCATTGATTTCGGCACCTTGCAGCTCATACACAAGCCATTGCAACTCGCTAACCGGATCTGTACTATTGATTAGTAACCACCAGTTCTTATTATTACAATAATTCATGTTTACCGAGAGAATTCTGAAACCTGGTCGAACCAGGACCGAATAGAAGGCGCCGCGACGAACAGTATGAGACACACCTGCCGGCAACCAATGCCGCCAGTGTTTATCAAGTTCATCATACAACCACGAGATACTGTTCTCCTGAGGCACAAAAGGTGGTGGGAAGCTAAAAAGAATAATAATATAATATTTATTATTTCTTACAATTAATTGAATTCTTTATTTTAGAAAGGATTCAAGAATTAAAATACGTTAAAAATTTGTAATTCTGATCTTCTTTCTATTTATTTAAATACACTTTGTATAAAAAAAAGACATAATATGAAACGATAAAGTCTTTATACACTACTAAAAAAAATGATGGCATAAAAAAAGTTCAAAGAAAAATTGGCAAAATTTTAACTTCGTGAAAAATCATCGTAGAATAACGAATTTTTTTAAAACTTGAAATCAATACTTTTTAAGATACTATGTCGCGATCTTATCACTGTAACCTCTCAAAACATAAGATTCAGTAAAATTTGCCCAAAATTTTTCTATATTATAATTTTTTTGCAGTTTATGTTAACAAATATGTACATATGTATATGTATATA